GATATATCCTTCGTAGGAAATATGCCACACATTATAGATAATAAATAACTATAATTTTATGCATTGCACAATACATATATATTATAGTAATTTTGAAAATTGAATAAAATATATATGCTACAGTCGTTTAAGATAAGCCAAACAAGCGTGACGTAACGAGAATGCACATTCTATATTAATGCACGCACTATGAAGGCTTGTACGCTATGCAAACTAACTCGGCTGTGTTAGTTAATCTACTGATATTATCAATTTATGATCGCACGTGCATGATTCGGCATAGGCGGGACTATTTCGTGCGAGAACAAAAGCGAAAGCTGGCGTTTAAAGTCCCAGAGATGTATATGTATATATAATTATTTTGCGTGATCACATAATATATGTAACGCTATATCTGAAGCGTAAATTGCTGAACACAAGGATTTCAACACTACCTTTGTAACAGCAAAATGTAATTACATTGAAATTTTCACCGTTAACACTATCAATTACTGATAATATATTCTAAAGCAACTCATATAATACACATAAAAATACAATATAAAAAAATAAAGCATATATTGACAAAAATTAAAATTATTATATATAATTTTATTTTTAAATGAAGTTGTATAATTAATCAAATAACGGTCAATTTTTGAAATAAATTTCACTATAATTTATTACAAAGTGATATTAGCCACAAATAGTCTCTCCCGAGAACAAAACGCGAGATTTTAAATATAAAATCAATAAAAATTATTTATTTTTAATCTTTCTAAATATTATTCTGAAGTCTTTAAAAAATTGAAACAATCGTCTTAATTAAAATATTTCACAATTTTAATCTACAATGAATTAAAAATTCTCTTATTATTCAAACGAGTTAGTGTATTTATTACTATTTTGTTTACATAATAATTTCTGCTAATGTCTTGAAACCCTGCGTACCGAAATTCCACAATAATCCACCCCTCGAGGGTATTCCAGCGAAAGACGATGAGCTCCGCATATCTAGCCTATCATCTTTCGAATCTGCGGAACCTTGAGGAGTATCTCAGCGGACGCGTCTATTTAAAATTGCAAACCGGTGGCCCCGCGAGATAGGATCTGTCGAAAAAGGCATAAAGCGACCAAAATGTGTCGCACAAAAGCCCCTAAAGAAGGTCAACCGGACTCAGGGGTCAAGCGGAGTCAACCGATGCGATTTGGTTTATGGCGCGAGCTCGTGCCCCTTCTTTCTCTTTCTCTCTCTCCCTTTATCTTTCTTTCTCTCTGTATTATTGTATTTTCGACGATGATTTACGATAGGAACGACCATTGCATTTGTGCTTTCTTCTAATTTTTTTTATTTTCTACCCGGCAACGCGTACGGCGCTCGACGGGCGATGCGTCGCGGGACATCATCAGCAATATCCCGGAATTTCCGGAGCTGATGGCCGTTCTCGCGTTTCTTTCTACGTGTCATTCAAGAAGAACAGCACTTCTTATTGAATGTAAAGCGATAAATAATATGTGGAACCTAAAATGATATATCTCTCATATGATTTTATTTATTCTATGCAATTACGTTCGTGTTATTTATTTGTTCTACCGTAAAACTTCTACAAAATAAAGATATCGCTGATTAAGAAGCACAAATTGATTGTTTTCCAGATTTTAGAAGAATTAATTATTCCGTTTCTATATCTTCACGCTTTTTGTCCACTTTATCCTATACGTACTTTTACTATTGTAATGATTAATGATTAATCTATTTCACAAAACACTATCATTTTTACTCTCGTAGGCTAAATTTATAATGCATGTCGATTTTTTATAATGTTGAATTATTTTCCCTATTTATGACGTTAGGAAGAAAGAGATATGTTATTTATCTGAATATATTTTCTTAACGATACTATATCAGTTAGTTTCATGAAAGTTATATAGTAAGGAAATGTACGTGACGTAATTCATAAATTGTAAGATTAGAAATTTACAAAATGTGTGCGCATAGCATACAAGATTATAAAGTGTCTGGAAGAAAGTATAATCCTTGTAAAAATCCATAATGAATCTCATACGTAAAAGTTAATCTATCGGTGCGCTTACTTTCAAAGCACTGAGTTCAATGCACTTTATTTCGCCAATTTCAATGCGGAAGTAAAAAAAGATAAAAGAATAGATAAATGTGTAGAAATTGTTACACAACTGGACGTTATCCCACAAAAGCTCTCCAACAAAGTAATATAGTAATTTTACTTAAATTATATCTAAAATATAAAGTTATCGACTAGCAAAAAATAATTATATATATATATATATATGTAAAATACAAAAATGTCAAACGGGAGTGCGGACAATTTAACTGATAATACAATCTATGTCAAATTTTATCGAAGGAAGCTAATAAAAAAGCACATATACATATACGTAAGTTAAACGATACAAGGACTTCTCGAGTGTATTAAACGCTTCGAGAAATATTGCCTCATGATGATGTAAATCGCGATTAATATAATTAAAAAGTCCGAGAACGCGTCGAGCAGGTTTACGCGATTGTCTCGAACCAGCGAGAAACGCAACAGCGATTCGGAGCGGAGCGCCTCTCTTTGACAGATGGCCACCAGAGATTTCCGCAAGAAAATAACGTTTACAAAAACGTTGACGAGAGATACAGCGTGAATATGGCGCACGGGAGCTTTGGAGGAAGCTCCGCGATTTCTAGAGAGTGATGAGAGTAATCCTTGCGAAAGCGACTCGTCACGTCGTTCCACATTCAAATGTAGAACTGTTCGCTCTCTTTGCATATTATAAACACAAGATACTCTTACGTACCAACAACTGCACTAATTCTGCTATTCTATTTGAATTTATTCGGCCAATTTTATCAAGAAATGAAGGATATAGAAATATTTTAAGAGATTCCGCATAAAAAGGTAAATCTATATTGACATATTTAAATTATTCCGTAAAATAATCGCACGATGTAAAAATTGATGAACGTGAGAGATTGAATGATGAATGAATGCGCATTACATGCGTCGTAATTTCACTGCTGAGAATACGCGGTAACGAAACAAGGAACACTTTGTCAAACAAGCTCGTATACACGCGTACATCACTCCGATCCATCGTAACTTCATCCGTTTCTTTATTCAATTTCAGATCCACATCCGGTCGTAGCTTCTACATTTAATTAAAAATCGCGCGATATCGCGGTGACTTTTTCTAACATATATGCTCACTGTTAGACTAAAATGACCGTGCAGGGTTAAATTGGAAACATAAAAACTTCGGTGAATTAAGCACGCGATGTGTTCTGGAATGTATGTATATACATGATCGCGTGGCAGTGGATGCACAGTGGATATGAAATAGCGTTACGAGCAGTAAAAGCGAATCGACCGCTTTCACATGCTCTGCAGGTTGTATATACGACCGAGCAATTTATAGCACAGTGAAATGAATGCGTCTCTCGCTATCGATCTTTCTATAATTCTACCGTTATTTCTAGTTTAATATAGGATATGTAGTTTACTAAGCATACAAGTTTGAAGTCCTCGCAGCGAATCTGTAACGCGATCAAACGCGATATTGCGGTAAAACAAATATTTCTCAAAGCGATTAAAAATGTCTCGGAAATAAAAATAATTTCTTCGAAATTAATTCAAGCTTTGGGAACAAAAATTCTGTTATGCTTCATTATTTTGGCAAAATTTAGAATCGCAAGTAAACTTTAGTAAATTTTTTATAACTTTTGAAATAAATTTAAAAAATATCATTAAAAAAATTATTTTTATTTTGAATTATTAATGCAATATTTGTCCTTTTGTGTCATTTATTAGATTGCAAAAGATTTAGAGTTTTTCTATTAAATTCCGTATCAAATATAGTTAGAAAAAATCTGGGATATAAAAAAAAGGAGATTAAAAAAAATCCTTTTTTAAGAAACTTATATTGAAGCCGATAACGACAATTTTGTTTTAAAACTCTAATTTGCTTTTAACTTTATTTGACAAATATGACCGACTCCATTTTAACCCAATAGAAAACAATATTTTATCCCAAAAATATAATCTTTAAATAATTGCTTCCAAAAATATATGTCACGGATTAATCTAATTCGGGATGTCTTTCATATTCGCTATACGCATATTTTGCATTTCCTCTCGAAGAGAATGTAATGTCACACATTCATACATATCTTATTGCAGACCACATTATTGTCTGTCGCTGCTACTAATAGGTCGTAGAAGCAGTTTCATAATCACATTCGAGACATTACAAATGCCAAAAAATTGAGATTAACCCTTCGATTGCGGAATGATATCTCATCCGCGAGTCGCTATTTTCGTAAAGGCATTGTGGTAAACGCGATAAATTGCGGAATTCTGTAATACCACGAAATTTCGCTCATTATTCGCATTCATAATTGACGCTATTGTACTTTGTGACTCGAAGATTTGAAAATTGGATATTACGTATAAGTTGTCGCGGCGTTTTTTCCTTTTTTATTGTCATTTGCACTGAATCATTGGCACGCCATTCGACGTGACGTTATTAAATTTACGTGCGAAATACATTGTGACAAAAGTTCTCCGTCATTGTGGCGCGATACAAACTTTGTTGGAGAAGCTACAGAATGCAAAAAGTTGTAGAGTAAGCGAATTTCCGGAAGCGTATTCAGAAGCAACCAGCAAAATCGCGCTGGCGATCGATTCGATTACTTGGAATTACTGGTGCGAACGCCCTTGTGATAATACCGTATTGCGTCAACGATATCTCTATTTCCATTTTAATTATTAAATAACGTGGCTTGTGTCAACAATCACATAGCTAATAACAAATTAGATATAATTTTAAAATATTTATAATAAAATATGTTCAGCATTATTCTATTATAATAGTATTTCATTATATTTGGAGTAATGAAAGAATGCAAAAATGCATTAATTCGCCATTGTTAATGTCGCGTTTAGATAGTGATAAAATCTCTTTACTCCACGAAAACGCGATTGTCAATAATTGTCACCTACCTTCCTTTCAACGGCGAGGTCACTGGCGAACCGACGTCTTCCGATTGCTGCAGAAAACTCCTATGGTGCATCGGCGGAAAAACACCCCCCACGGCTGCGGTACTGGACGGTTCGTTCCTCTCGGAAAAGCACAGGTGTCATCGCACTGTCACGCACGCGATTCACCGCATCAAATACCGCGGCGTGTCTCTCTTTCTCTCTCTGTAAGTACGTGACGTATCGTTAATATTTCGCGCGATTTGAGAAACAATTGGAAATTTCGGGGAGTGGATGGAACGTGAACCTCGATCGATGTCCGTGCGCAGACTGCCCGCACCATCGTCTGCACCGGTTGCCTCGCGTTCGTCATACTACGGTCCCTCGTTGCGTCCTTTTCCCGCACGTGTTTCCGCTCTTTCGTTCTTTCCCCCACTGCGCGTGTTTCACCCATCTCGCTCGCACATGTGCGAATTTTTCCTGTAAACATCATAATCGTTAGATGAGGAAAATTCATCAATATTATATAAAAAATTAATAAATGTACAGAATGAAGGAAATGTGAATTGTAATAAATTTTTATATCATTTTTTGCTGAAACTTTTTTGCATGTTACATGACATTTGATAAATCTTTATTAAATTTTTTCATTTATTGTTAATTATGTAATATGTCATCATATGGCAAAAAAAAAAAAAAACACTTAAAGGGAGATATAATATATAGTCATCGACGGACAATAATCTCAGCTTATCCCCACATAGCTTGATTACACCTACATATTCTTTGTGGGATGTTGCTTCTTTCATCATTTTCTTCATCATGATATTCAGAATTTATTGTTCTCTCTATGAATGTCTTAAAAAAATATATTTAGTAATATCTGTGTAATAGTAACAAATTACTTATTTTCTTGTTGCGATAATTAAAATTGTCTTAAATAGTTTTGTCAAATTTCCACGATAATGATAATTATTTATGAGAAACTTTTAATGATAATTTTTATAGAAACTTTGCATTATATAAATTTTATAAAAGTGTAGAGAGTTATTATTCACGTGTCTTATTTATTGAATGTCAAAATTATTAAAACATTATAATAAACATCTTATAAAATAATTTTAATCAAAATATGTGTTTTCGACCAAGATAAATGTGCATTGTGCACAAACACGTTTAAATTTCAATAATGAATTAATAGAAAAACACGTTTATCGATCTCAACTATTGCGTGAAATCATTTCGTTAGAGAAAACTTACATTTTTTACTTACTTCTTCTATATAATTAAAATTATATGATTATTGATGAATATAGTTAGAAGTTTTTTTTTTCAATAATAACAAGAAAAGGGAAACGCTTTTATAATTCAGAAGTTTATTTATATGGTAAATTCTGTTCCATTTAGGGCACTCAGAGATCTCTCTCTCTAAACCCACCGCTGTCGAATATGTGACAAGACATCATTAAGATTCCGTCCGTCGGTTTCCAAACCGACTGGTATTTGTTCTTTGTAAATGTGAGATAGAAAAAGGGCACCGTACATTCTCGAGGTCGGTGTTTCCCTGAAGTAGATACGACAACCTATATTCATCGTTTACTAAGCTGAGAATTAACTAAGCACTCTATTTAATGCGTTATTATTCACTGTTCCAATGTCGACAATAATAGACATAATTAACATTCGAATTGTTGATAATAGGTTTAGTAATAGAATAATAATTTATAGTATAATACAACGCAGTTTTTTATGTAGCATGCAGAAAAAATTGCAGAAACGTTGCTGAAATATTTCGTCATAATCGGTATATAGAATCTGTATTTTCACGAATTCTCTGGCGAAAAGAGGTAAAAGTTCTATCATTTTCCAAAAATTTTATAAAATGAACCACTCTCTTTTATAGCGAAGATCAGATAAGATGATTTCAGGAGTGATCTAAGAAATTAAAAGATAAGTGTGCGTGGATTAAAATTCCATAATCAGTATATATAAAGAGATGAATGTGTAAAACGAGTTAACAAAAAAAAAAGCCACCGAAATTATGAGGAATTTAATTCTGCCGCATTGCAATTATGGTCTGAAAATAAGGACCGCCGTTTCGTCGCTTTTGATTGCGGTGTCGCAAATAAGGACCTCGTATATGTGTAAAAAAAGCTTCTCTGCTATTTTATATGAGAATCTTAGCTCGTTTAAGGTAAGTAACTGCCACGCAAAAACTGGACATTCCGCTGCTGTTCGTCCTTTTTTCATTCCACCCGTGTTTTTCCCCTTCCCACTTTTCATCGCGCTTCGCTCGAAGAACGGTGACACTTCAATCTTCGCTAGAAGAGCGCAGATGTAAAAGTGAACGTAAATTTCTCTAGCGGTAAATTGATCTAATCATTTATGTCAAATTACATTTCTGCGTAAAACTATTCAAAAATAGATCGTGTGCGATATATGCACGATTTAAAATGCAACGAAAGCAAATGAATATCGTAAATATAAAGTTCAAATTAAAAAAAAAAAAAAAAAACAGACTTTGATCAAATAAACAGAAAGAAAAATATTTCTATAAAGTTGAATATCTCTTCAATATGAAAAGAGAGAATTATCAGAAATTGTACGGAATTATTTTGTTTCGCTTTACTATTTTAATTTCTCATAAAAAAAATTATATATGTTCTTCAATTTCAAAGAGAACACGTCGCATTTTATCATTATATATTTTTTCAAAAGATAATCTCGTATTTTTTGTTAAATCTCTTTACTTTGACAAATATTTTTCTAATCATACTACATTGAAACAGTTAATGCATTGAAATACTTCTTTACTCGACATATTTGCAGCGCTCTCTATTGTATATATTTAATTCTCTCGAACCGCGATAATTATGTAATAGAAAATTCTAATTAATCACAAAAATATTCTTTTCTAAAAAAATCTCAGATTAATATTATATTAATGAAATAGATAATCTTTATGAACTTAAAAAGCGCGATGTCCCATTTTTAAGTCGTTATACATAAGATAATTTTCTAATCTGTTCTCAAATTCCATAGTTCTGCGGACAGATTAGAAAGAAATGTACTCAATCACCGATGAGGGGTACTATTAAAGACTCATAATCCCGCGGACCCTGTGTAAAATTACGTGATTATCAAGGTTCTCGGGCGATCCGGAGAAAGATAATTAAAGAGTACTGACATTACTTGAAATCGTTCTTGATCATACGGTATTCGAATGATATCTATAGCATATATATGTAATATATAATGCGGTATTAATTTTACAATTTACACAATTATATCCCAATATTTCGTAGGCATACTTTCTCATCTACGTACAATGTGTATTAACCTGTAAAAGAAACTTTACATACCTCTAAAGTTATAATATTATCACACATGCTATGTATGTGTGTATTACTCGGCTTCCCGCCTTTTCCTCCATATGTAATTTTTATGAGAAGGCACAGCAAGTTTTTCAAACTTATACAATA